GATTTTTTTATATTTAAAGCCCCTAGACCTAATACCAACGGCTGGGATTAATTCCTGAGGTGATTTGGAGGGAAATAGGTCGGTTTTGGCCAAAGAATCGAATTCAAAACGAAGGGGCATTGATTGGGCATTAAATAGGCTCTTAAATCCACTTAATTGGGTGATTAAGGCCTATTTAGAGCCATGGTTGACCAAGTCCACGTTTGACTTGGTCAAACCAGTCAAGGGGGTCCATGGGGATGAGGGATTGAGGCAAGCCAAGGTCCAAGTGCATCCAAACTTGATTTGTGCTCTAAATGAGCTAAGTGGTCAACTTGGGTTGACTTGATCAACCGGGTTGACCCCGGGTCCAAGCTCGGGCTCAACAGACTCGACTCGACCCCACGAGCCTATTGGGGATGGTCTTGGGGTCTGACTTGATCAATTTGACCAAGTAAACCCTTTGACTAAGGGTCGGGGCAAAATCGAGGTCAACATTTCTTAGTGTTGATTGTTCCTCCTCTTTTTGGTGACGTCAAAAGGGGGAGAATCATGTTATGTGCTTTAGTTAGTGTGTCTTATCTTATTTACTTTATTTATCTTGTTATCTTTAATTCAAATGAATTGTATTTTCTTTCTATTTATGTCTTTACTCTTTTTGTTTTATTTAATTTAAAATAAAAACAAAAAAACAAAAACAAAAAATTTGGTGCAAATTTTTTTAACAATAATATTATTTGACATCATCAAATAGAGGGAGATTGTTACAGTCCATGACCTCTAATCTGAGATTTTGATGATGACAAATAATATCGATTGAATTATTATTCATTTAAATATTTTTTTTATTTTTGCTCTTATATATGAGTACTAATATTTCAAAGAATTCATAAGTTACTTAGGATAAAAAGAAGACTCGAGACTAGATGGAATAGGAGTTGGAGTTTATAACATTATAATTTTTTATTTTGTTGAGTCTGGCCATAAATTATATGCATGACTGAGCAACCATGCACACACATAGGGGGAGAAGGTTTTAAAATGAAGAAATTTTTTTCTCTATAAATCGTACAGTACGAGTTTTAATCGTACTGTATGATTTGATCTGGCTCGAACGGCTATCTGTAAACAAGTCATACCGTATGATGTATATCATAATGTATGATGTATTTCTAATTAAAAACCCTAGTCGCTAGATTAATTTAAGTTCTTAATTCGTAAATTTTGAATTGATCGTACGGTATGATCTTATCATATTATACGATAATTTTAAATACTTACTTAAATTAACACCGTGATTAGTACGTAAATCAAGGATTAATTTCTGATTGATTATCGTACTGTATGACACCATTTTGTATCATATAATCAATAGAGGCTATTTTCAATTGTCCCAACCATCATACCGGACGATCCTTTGATTTTGTGCTGATCGTATTATATGAAGTGATTCATAACCTATGATGTACAGAGACGAGTTTTTGTCATCCTAACAATAATCCTGTATGAATAGAAGAATTTTTACATATTGTACTGGACGATGTTATATCATAATGTATGATATCATTTAGAATTTTTGCATGTTCCTAATCCTTCGTACAAGGATGAAGGTTATTTTGTATTTATCGTACTATATGATATCATAATGGCTAAATTGAAATTTTTAGGATTTCTTGGAGCCTATTTTAAATATCAAAACTTCTATTTTTTATGAGTGTGTAAGTGAGAGAGGAACGTGATTAGAGGGGGATTCCTTGAGAGAGAGCTCTTGAGAAGATTTTAGGGTTTGTGAGAGAAAGGAGAATGTGGGCTTTGTGAAGGAAGAGTGTGAGGGAGATCATACGGTTGCTCCAAGCTTGCTGCACTTTGCTTCTCTTGTGGCCCGAGAAGATCTTGTGGGAGGCTCTCTAAGGGGGAGATTCTCCTATGTCCGTGTCCTCTAAGGTACTCTGCCTTCTCAAAGATGGAGAAAAATGAGAAGGTACGCTGCCGTCACTAGGAGGGTGACAAAGCGCTTGGCACTCCGCCACATTGGGTTGGTTAAAGTGTGGTTTGTAAAGGCTTCTTCGCCTTGCTGTGGGGGAAAAAGGAGAATTACTGTTTAGCAGTAAAATTTTTGGAGTGGAGGATTCCGGGGAGTGTACGTAGGCCAAGTGACTAAACCACTATAAATTCTCTGGTGTAATTTTCTTTACTGCACTTTATTTATAGTTTTGCATTTCATTTTCATTAAAATTGCTTGGTGAAAATTGTTATTGAGCAAGTTAATTTTTCACTATCTATTGTTGCAAATTATGTTTTATGAATTTGCCTCCCTATCATTTAATTTTCTTGTTAAAAAAAAAAAATTAGAACTCCTGTTTAGGATTGTCTTTTTATCGCAACAAATTTTCAATTCACCCCCCTCTTGGCACATCTCATAATTTCAACTAAATGTACAAGATTTTCATCTTATTACAAGAATTTTTAAAGTGACTACAAAAAAAAAAAAAGGAGAAGGTCATGCTCATAAGTATCAAGCATGGATAACATAAAGGCACAAACTTTCTCTTGACTTCTTTCAATTCAAACAAGATACATCATATACACATCATGTTATTTTGCCAACCAAAATGAATTGCAACTATCATGTGACCTTAGTGGTAAAACATGCATTTAGCTCATGGTTAAAACATAAAGGAACGTTCTCTTTTATCAAGCATGATATGTCTACTACAAGAACCTTTCACCTCATCGGTTAGCATAGACATAAAGTAAGAAAAATTAGTCATGGAGGAAGATTACATGCTCTTCAGAAGAATGTCAATCAAATCTCATTCACTAAATCCTAAAGAAAAATCCTATCATTGTCAATTTCAACCAACAAGAGGACCAAGAACAACCCATTAATGAAATAGTTTTGAACATACACCCACTACACTTATGCATCAATGAGCTGACTGTCAATATACACCAATACATAAACTTTTTAATCAAGCATGCATCAAACAAAAATAATAAAAAATAAAGTTATATAGACGTTTAATGCATATTCATGTAAGCACACACTTTTTTTCTTTGCTTGAAAGAAGTAGAAATAATCAGTTTGAAGAAAAAAAAAATCAAAGAAGAAGAATGGGAAGAAGGAGAAGGATGAGGAGAGGAAAAGAGTAGGAGGAAGGAAAGGGGAAAATAAGAGAGGAGAAGAAGGTTAAGGAAGAAAAAGATAAAGGAGAAGTTGGGAGAAAGGGAAGAAGAAGAAGAAGGAGAATAAAATACCTTCCAAGTAGGGAAGCCAATTAGTAAGCTTGTTGGAGGCTGGACGGCGTCGGGTGAGGCAATGACTCGTCTAAGTCCTCTTGGGGCGGAACGAATGGGAGAGAGGGAGGAGAGGGGGTCGGCCTCGTGCTTCTTAAAGCCACAAAAGTCAATCATATTCTCATAACCAATATTAAAAATTTTATCAAACTATCTCATCCATCTATATTGAATATTCTCCTCTATGAAAAATACTTTTTTATCTTCATGCTTAATTCACTCATTTAAACTAAATCTTTACTTCTCTAATCTCACTCTGTGTGTGTGTGTGTACGGGTGGGGGTGCGTGTGTGGGCGCGCGTGTGCGTGCGTGCGTGCTTGCGTGCGTGCATGCTTGCGTGCGTGCTTGCGTGCGTGCTGTGACTAATCTATAATATAAATAACTAAAAGCACTTTTTTTGTATCATATTACTTTCTTAGAATCCCTATAAGGTTCTTGATTAAGGGTGTCAATATTTGACCTGACCAAAATTTGATCTTAAAATTTTAGGTTTGGGTTAACCCATTGGAAAATGGGTTAGATTCAAGTTGTAAATTTTGACCATATGAAAAATTTGGGCCAAGTTTGGGTAAACAAAAAAAAAAACCTGAAATTAACCCGCCTAACTCAAGACACGCTCTCCCCCTATTACCCCCTTGCCTGCGCTAACACCTAAACCCATGCTTGTTCTCCCCTGCTTACAAACCTCTCCCCCTCGTTGGCTTTACCTCACATGCTTGCCCCTGCCCTCGTAGCCCTTGCGCTCGCCTGCTCACACCTCGTGGCCTCATGGTTACTAGGTCGGGTCAGGTCAACCTAGGTTAGACCAAGGTTAGGTTTTAGTCTAGATATCTGACCCTTTTTACAATTTGGCTCGGGTTCATGTCAGTTAAATTTGGCCAGGGTCAATTTCAGGTTTGACCCAAGCTTGACCCGAATACTTTACCCTTCTTCCTAAATCTAAAGCTAATAAATGATGTTATATGCATAAACTTTCACTCGAAATAACTTTATAATCTTTACAATATAAACAATTTATATTTTAATAAAAAATGTATCAATCTGAGTTTTACTATATTTATTTTTATAAATGATGAGATGCTCTACTCTTTTTTTAAACAAAGTATTAACAATTATAAAATCAGAAGTTATAGCAAAATCTAATATGATTATGCTATCTTCATTAGTTTGTTCAAACTAATAGTCATCATAATTACTTAAATTTTCTATCATTTTATCAGTATGTTCATTTAAATCTCCTTAAATAATTTTTTTTTTTCAAATGATATCCTTTATATTAAGTTTTATAAGTTATTTCAAATTATTTTTTAAAAACAATTCCAAATCCACTTTAGTAACATAAATGCTTATAACATTAATAATTTTAATATCAATAACAATATTTAATGTTATAATTTTATCTTTAATTTTATTAATTTTAACAACATTATCCTTCAAATTAAACCAATGCACCAATAAGATCGATTCATAAAATTATTCTCATCTCAAATGAAGTTAAAAGGATTTTAATCAAACTTTTTAAAAAATTCTCAATTTATTTATCTTCAGAATGAATTATTTCATTTCAATAAAGCTAACATTAATTCAAAATAGAATTAGAATATATGTAAAATGATTTTAATAATTTATTTGAAGTTAAGCAGTTTTTTTTTAATATATTTTTTTTTCATTTCCCCTCTTCTTTTTCAGAATTTAGAAAATTAATTTAATCTTATCCTATTGTTACCCAAACAGCCCCTAAAGGCCAACAAATCATATGCTCTACTCTTATTCCCTTCACACTGTCCCAACGCTCATTGCCTGCCTCTCCATCCTCCATTCATCCCCGTCCTTCGCCCATTTCCTCCAAATCCATGCCCACATTATTCGCCACTACCTTGCCGGTGATCCCTTCATCGCTGGCAAGCTTCTTGAGTTCTGCGTTGCTTCTCCTCAAGGCAGTCTCTCTTATGCCCGCAAACTGTTCGAAGGTATTCTCCAACCAAATATTTTCTCTTGGAACACGCTAATACGCGGCCATGCGGGTTCCCCCAACCCTAATGGAGCTCTCCTTCTCTTTCAAAGCATGCTTTCCACGGACACAGTGCCAAACTCCCATACATATCCGTTTGCACTCAAGGCCTGCGCTCGCCTCTTTGCTTTCAAGCAAGGGGAGCAGCTCCATGGCTTCATGCTCAAATCTGGTGCGGAAAGTGACGTTTTTTCCATTAATGGGCTGATCGGCATGTACTGTGCTTGCGGCCATGTTGACCTTGGTCAGAAGGTTTTTGATACTAGTAATGTGAGGGATGTGGTATCATGGAATTCAATGCTTACTGGGTTTATAGACTGTGGATTCTTGGATCGTGCACAAAACCTATTTGCTGAAATGCCTGAGAGAGGAATTGTCTCTTGGAATGTAATGATTAATGGTTATGTGAAGTTTGGAGATGTGAAAGCGGCACAAGAGCTTTTTGATAGGATGCCGGATCGCAATGTGGAATCTTGGAATACACTTATTGCTGGGTATGCAAAGTGTGGACAGTTGGATATGGCCCGTAAGCTTTTTGACGATATGCCTATGAGGAATGCCGTCAGTTGGAGTGCTATGATAAGTGCCTATGCTCAAGGGGAACGACCAAGTGATGCATTGAGAATGTTTGCCGAGATGAAAATGGTTGGAGCATGGCCAAACTATGCAGCTGTTGTTAGTTTGCTATCAGCTTGTTCCCAGCTTGGTGCTCTTGATATGGGCAAAAAAGTCCATTCTTATGTTGAAAGGAACAAGATGAAGATGGATTCAGTCATTGGAACTGCACTAATAGATATGTATTCTAAGTGTGGATGCATAGATAAAGCGTTTGAGATATTTTCCAATTTGCCTCATAAGGACGTTTTCTCATGGTCAGCTATCATTAATGGGCTAGCAGTAAATGGGCATGGAGCCAAAGCTTTGAAGTTGTTCGATAGGATGAAGGAAGATGGAGTTAGGCCTAATGAGGTTACTTTTGTGGGAGTCTTATGTGCTTGTAGTCATGGTGGCTTGGTAGCCTTAGCAAAGCATTACTTTAATTCAATGGGCGCAGTTTATGGTATTGAGCTCCAGAGTGTGCACTATGGTTGTATGGTTGATGCCTTGGGACGAGCCGGGCTTCTACATGAAGCAAAGATTCTTGTGGAGACCAGTCCTTGGAAGGGAAATCCTGTGTTGTGGGTTACTATTTTTGGAGCTTCTTGGATTCATGGGAATCTAAAGGTTGCAGAAATGGCAGTTGAGAAACTAATCGAGCTCAAGCGTGATGATGGCGGTGTCTATGTTATTTTGTCAAACATGTATGCTATGAAAGGAATGTGGAACAAAGCAAGAGAGGCTAGAATGTTAATGAAATCCAAAGGTCTCAACCAGGAACGAAGTCGGAGCCTGATTGAGGTTTGTGGAATAGTACATGAATTCTTTGTTGGAAACCAATCCCATCCCGAGTCACCAAAAATCTATAGAAAGTTAGATGAAATTTTTATGAGGATAAGGATTGAAGGCTATGGCCCAAACACAAGGCTAGCGTTGTTTGATGTAGAGGAGGAGGAGAAGGAGAATCTTGTGGCTCATCACAGTGAGAAACTTGCCATTGCATTTGGTCTTATCGTCATGTGTGCGAAGGATGCCATTAGAGTGATCAAGAACATTAGGGTATGTAAAGATTGCCACACATTTGCCAAGCTTGTGTCTAAGGTTTATGAAAGGGAGATAATATTAAGAGATAGAAATGTATTCCATTATTTTAGAGGAGGTTCTTGCTCTTGTGGAGACTACTGGTGATGCTGAGTTCGGTATGGATTTTATTGCCACTATAGTTAAATTACACTTGGAAGAGTTTTTCTCACTTTTTTCTGAAATTGATAGGATTTACTTTAAATCTTCAAGTGTTTCCTATCAGACATTTAAGTCAAGTTGATTTAATTTCAAGAAGTCAATTCTCTTTCCCCTCAATGGCCTAGGCGAGCTCATCTCTCTCTCTCTCACTTGATCCCTCCCACTTGTTTTCACTCGATCGCACGTAGGAGCAGCCCGAGCTCCCTCTCTCATTCGCTCTCAAATGCACACAAAAGGCCCAAACGTTAGCCCTATCTCCCTCTCGTTCGCTCGATTCCACATGCAAGAAGCTCGAGCCCCTCTTTCATTCATTCAACCACACGCAGAAATAGGAGTTGAAGCCCCTTACAACTCTCACGTCTTCTTTGTACGTACAAGTCCAGCTCCAAACCTGACTAGCCCGTGCACACGTTTAACTCATAGACTCGTCACTGTCATCAGTACTCTTCCTACATTAAAAAGAATAAATTTCTTTCTTTCTTTTGCTTAAACAACAGGTATTGAAGAACCCATATCCGTCGTATCTTTTATCCGGCCGGGAGAAGAGCAAGATCAAAAGAAGATCCCATTTCCATTATATCTTTGATCCGGCTAGGAATAAAAAAAAATTATAGGAAGACCTCACATCATCGTATCTTTGATCTAACATGGATGAATGTAGGCAAGAACCCACCCGACACCCCTATACGTGGTGTGGAATGCCGGGAGGTTACCAAAATTTTGAATGATAGATGACATTCATATAATTAAATTAAAAATGAACTTTTGAACAAACAAAAAAAATGAACTAAATAAAAACCAAACCTATCAGGTCCCCCCCCCCCCCCCCCCCCCACCAACAAAAAAAAACAATCTTTTCACCCGTGACCCCACTTAATAATTTAATTTCATCAAGTTTGTGGGTATTTCTTCAAATTAGCATGTCATCATCATCACTATCATAAGCCTTATCCCTAAATTATTGGGCTTTGCTTGTATCTATCAAGTTGCAACATTGTTTCATCAATTATTGTAATTTTTTTCTTTTTTACATAAGATGTTTAAAGAACAAAAAAAAAAACTTCTATTAAATTGGCATATTCTTTTCTTGACAGAAGAGAGTGGACAAAAAGATCTTCTTAAAGTATAAAAAATTGAATTGAATAATCTTAATTGGATGCAAGGAAGCATTTGTAGTCATAATAAATTTAATAAGATATACTCTATGTACATAGGCCTTTCCTTGATTTAATGTTAGAAACAACATGAATAAGCACTAATCATTATCAAAGTGTGTTGGTAATGCATTTCTAAATGTTTTCCTCATGAAGGTGAATGAGAGTACACGCTGTATCCTTAGATTAATTATTGTCACAAACATGCTATGCTATTCTACAAAATCTTAATAAAATAAGGGATCAAAGAGAGAGAGTTTTGAAGATAAATGCATTTCCTTGATGAAATTCAATCTATTTTAAAAAATTGAGATTGAGAACACTATTTAATAACTACCTTTTCCAAAATTCATTGATTTCCTTTTATATCCAGCCAGACTTCTTCTGTCCATTTTGATATTGCTCAGAGGAAAATCATGACTATAATAGAAAAGCAATCTCTTTTAAAAACTATAGCTATAATATTCTCCTCTAAATTAAATAGAGTATGATTTGAAAAGCATTGAAAGATCTATGAATGCATAAGTTCAGATTAAACTTGATCTATAAAGTAAGGAATTTTTGTATTTCTCCTTAAAAAAGAAGATTATATGATAAGATTTCGTAAAAATGTTCTTCGAAGACCCATCACAAAACATCACTAATAAAGCTTTCAATGCTTTCAAGCATGATAGGGCCCCAAACACAAAAAGATTGAATCTTCAAGTTGTTGGCATTGAGTTGGATAAAATCGGAGCTATCAAGTGGAAGGTTGACTGTACCATATAAGACTATCATATATTTCTTACAATTGTCAAAAGTTTCATAAAAGCAAAGGTTGAAACTACTGATTATTTCGTCACATAACTGACAAAATACAACCGGTCTAGAGAACCTTATTGCTCAAACAAGTTCCAATTTATTCAAATATTTATTCTACACAAACAACCTTCAATGTCTTGATCATCCTACACTATCTATTCAACTTTCTTAATTGATTGGCCTAATCAAGTCAACAACAAGAAATCTCTAATATTGAAACTTTTGGGTTGTTAAAGAGTTTTGCCTTGTCTATCATTGATGGCTTCTCATATGTTCCTAATAGAACTTTTACCACTTTATATTTGCATGTGCTCCGATCTTTACACCAAACTCTTCAATATAAGATATGAGAATATTTCATAAATTTGCTAAAAGTGCTTAAACACACATATGATAATTGTGTTGACATGAAATTTTAATCAGAGAGAACTATTTTACTTTTAAAATGCTCTTAAAATTCAAAAGTCATTCATTTAAAATCTAAATTCAAATCCTATTAAAAGTTTAAATTTTTAAAACGAAATTCATCACTAAAAACATAAAACTAAAATCCATCCATACTCCGCAACGGTTTGACGAGGATGATGAATTGAAGAATAAATTTAGCTCATAAAGAATATATGTCTTGTAGAATGTACTACTACAATTCATTCTCGATTGATTTCTCGCTAGCAAGGATATGACACATGCCCTCTAATTGGATCGTTTTGCCGCAAAATGACACCGCTATATTACGGTCATGGCTAAAGCATGTATGTTTCCTAATGTTTAAAAGTCCATTGAGTAATGAATTATATGATGCACTCTGTAAGATATAAAGCCATATGTTAACTAAAGTTGACTTATATTCAACCCTTTAGACAAACATCGACCCTAGGTCTACAAGGTGTCCTTGGACAACACAACTCATGATTTAAGGATCCTTCTATCAAGTTGGTTCAGCTATCTCCTATAACTAAGTAGACCAAGGACCATAACATCCCCGAGATGACGAAACTATGGGATCTTGATTGGTCCGTTATCATTTCTTCATCGCCCTTTTTAAGTATATGGTAATAGATTTTAAGTCATAAACTCTAAAATCCAAAACCAAATTCAAACCCTAAAATCGTTGCAAGTTTATGTTAGGTAATTATTATGACTTAGTTAGGTACAATATTTTTTTGCGCAAAAAAGGGTAATTATTATGACTTATTTAATGACTAGCCTTAATCAAAAGTTTTCTCTCATTATCAAGAGGGGTAATTAACCATAGGGGATTGCATCTATGGGAAATCAAAACTCAGATCATAAAGCTCTTGCAAAATAAGGACGAAATATCTAGATAGTGTCTTATCTAAACACCTATTCTGCCTTTTGAAAATTTATTCCGGGACCTAAATCCGTTAAAAATCTTCTCATTAATAAAGAAGCGCAGAGAGGCTAGGGAGGGAATTTTTGGAGCCCACAAATATTTTAAGTGCTATATTGATGTTATATTTCCTAAATGTCATAAAAATATGATATTGGCCCCACCACCACCTCATATGGATACTATTCAAGCACCCCTTGGCATATGACACTTGTTTTATATGTAATATATCAAACGAGATAGTACTGAATATGACAATATGTGTTATTGAACTGATCAAAAAGCTGGAAATGGAAATTGAGCATCTTCAGCTGCTGGTTTTCTATTAGCTTTTTCTCTCTAGATATTCCACTTTTCAACTGTAAAAGTATTTCAAAACTCATCATGTTATTTATTCACTTAGGCCATCCCACACTTCACCATATAGTGGTGCAAAAATGAGAATATTTGTATTAATGTGCAGTTTAATTAGGAAATTTATTTGTAGGAATTATTTCTATAAGAGAGCATAGGCTATACCAATAAGGGAAAAAAAGGCTAAAGGATTTTCTTTTTTAATCTGTTCACATGGAATTTAAAAGTTCAGTTCATTTGCCATTATGATTCTTCTCTGATTTAGAATTTTTGTGAAATAAAATAAAATTATTTATAGTTATTTTGATAATATTTGTAAGCATAAAATTTAAATTTTAGAGTAAATTATAACAAAAATGAGGAGATTTATAAGAATTTTGAACATGAAATTATAAAAGTATTTATATGAAATTTAAGACTTACATTAGAGATACAAAAGTTATAAAGATAATCGACTCTCTTAAAAAGCATATGTTAATATCACATCATAATAATAAATGAAAAAATGCATCAAGATATTGTGATAAATTTGCCACTTTTTGCTCTTTTTAACATGGTGTGAAGGATAGAATTGGAATTTTTAGTAAATATGAGATTTTATAGTCAAGGAGAGATTATTACGGGTTGAATCCAAATGTAACTTCTCATTCGAACTCCAACCACATGAAGACACGTGAATTTTCTCTCTCGTACACAGGATATGTACAAAAGAGAGAAATAAAATCAATGTGTCTTCATGTGATTGAAATCCGAACGGCATACGGACTCTGTACATAATAATATTTCCAAGGCAAGAGAGCAATGAGGTTCCTTATGCCTCAATATGGAGGAATTGTAGACTATTTTCTTAATGCCAAAGAGTTCTAGAAGACGTTAGGAATTTGTTATGATCGTTGAATGAATTGTAGTTTGATGTCTAGAATACATAGATGTACTTAATATCTTTTGTTATATTTTAAAAAAAAAAATTGATATATATATATATATATATATATAAATCATAATTTCAAAATAAAATAAAATATCAATCTTTTTCATCACAATAATACATGAACTTGATAATATTCCAATTAAAGTGTGTAAAATGCTTAGGAGATAAAAGGATTTTTTTTTTTTTTATGAAACTTTTCAATATTATTTTGAAGACTAGAAGATGTAAGATAATTAGAGAATGAGTGTGTTGATTTTAATGTTTAAGAATAAAAGTGATGCAAAAGGGTGTGCAAATTATAGAGAAATTAAGTTAATGACCTACATTAAAACTATGAGAGAGTTATTAAGCATAGGTTACGTGATACTAATGTTTCTCAAAATCAATTTGGATTCATGTAGGATTTTATGCCATGGAGGCTATATATTTGTTGTGAGGTTTGATGGAGAAGTATAGAGAGAATAAGGAGGATTTACATATGATATTTATTGATTTAGAAAAATCATATAATAAAATTTCAACAGAAGTGCTCTCAAGAGTTCTAGAAAAGAAATAAATGAATAATGCTTATATTCAATTCATTGAGGATATATATGCAAAAGATGTTACTCATGTTCAAACACAAAGTGGTTTGACCAAATATTGTCCCATTTCAATTGGATTACACCATGAATCAACTCTACGCCCATATCTTTTTGCTTTAGTCATGGATGTTCTTACTAGACATTTTGCAAGAGAATGTACCCTAACTAGGAGTGTAAGTGAGACAAGCCGGCGCGAGCTCGATTTATGAGCTCGCGAGCCGAGCTTATCAAGCTCACAAGTCGAGCTCAAGGTCAAGTAGCGGGGCGCAAGGTAAAGCTTGATGAAGCTCGGCTCGTGAGCTCGGGAGCCGGCTCGAATAATTTTAGGTTTTTTTAATAGAAATAATTTTTTATTTTTTTTTATTAAATTTAAATCTTTAAAATATATATACATTAAATAATGGGTGCCAAATGTAAGGGAAAAAGCATTAAATATCATTCTCAAATTTTATTAAATTTTCTGCTCATTCTAAATTGTTGTCAAATGTCAAAACATTAAATATTACTGAGCGGACAAATTTGAAGACTTGTTCAGGGGAGAGTGCGTGTTGAGTGCTAGGGTTTTCTCCTTAGCCCTCCCGCCGCCTCCTGCTGGTTTCGCTCTTCTTCTTCTCCTCCCCCTCCGGCTTGGCCGGAGGCTTCCTCTATGGCTTCATCCTCTCTTCCAGCTTCGAACTTTCCTCCTTTAAGTTCCAAAGCTGGAAGCTTTCTCTGTTCTCCTCCTAAGAACTGGAGCCAAGTGTTTGCTCCGGAAGTCTCCAATCCCAATACGTTCTCTTTCTCCCATCATCCTTCTGAACCGGAGGTTATTCCCTTCTCTAGTGATATCTTGAGCAAAGGGGGGCAAGATTGGAGCCTTTGTTTGGTCGGCTATTCGGTGGGCCGTAGACCTTTCTACGAAGCTCTCTCGGGAGCGATCAAGAAGACTTGGAATCTTTCAGGTTCGGTACAGCTCCTCTCCTTGAATGATGGTTTTTTCCTATTTCAATTTTCTTGTAGAGAAGACTTTGATCTTATCTGGTCAAGAGGTGTTTGGTTTCTGCTGGGGAAACCGTTTATCTTCCAGAAATGGCATCCTAAATTCGTTCCTCAGAGGGAGGAATTTTCTACTGTGCCGATTTGGATAAAAATTCATGATTTGCCCTTAGCTTGTTGGAACTCGGGGGGGATTTCGCGCATTGCTAGTAAGGTTGGTATACCTGTTGCTGCTGATAAACTCACTGAGTTAAAGACTAGGCTCACGTACGCCCGGATAATCAGGCGAATTACCCAGAGATTATTCGTGTTTCTTTAGATGGAACGGACGTGAACCTGAAAGTTCAATATGAATGGCGTCCATCTCCTTGCGACCATTGTAAGTCTTTAATGCATTTTTCGTCATCCTGTTTGAAAAAACCTCATGTGGAAGATGGGTTAAATGGCAATAATAAACCGGAGAACAGAGGGAGAAGTTTTAGCAGGAAGCCTCGTTACAGAGCTAAATCTAAGCCGTCTCTGGCAGTTCTTTCTGATACTGCGGGGGCTTCTCATTCTGGTATTGCTCCTGTGATTGATAATCCGGTGGATTCTGCCCTTAATGACCTGGGGCTTCCTTTCACTTTCAGCCGCACTCTCCCACGACCAAAAATCTCCCTTCGGAGCATATTATTCCCACTGATGACATTACTATTCCTACTTCAGATTTTGATTTAGGGTTGAATATTCCAAATCTCAATTCTCCACAGCAAGTTTCTTCCTCTGCTTCCAGCTCTCAAAACACCAAATTGTCCTCTCCTCCAAAATCTATCAATTCTTCTAATAGCTTTGAAGCTTTGAATGTTGAAGATGATCAATGCCAGAATGAGGAATTTTTTGATGACAAGGAAGAGAAGATTGATAAGGTGATTGATGAGAAGCTTAAAAAAGCTAAGGATTCTCAATCTCTGAATTCTGCAACTAACAAAAAAACTGCAAGGGGGAAGCAGACCAAAAAACCTCAACCTTCCAAAAAACATTAATGTCTTTTCCACCCATGGCGGCGTGGAATATCAGGGGTTTCAATCACCCTGATAAGGTTTTTGCCTGCAAGAAATTGATTCAATCCTTTCGGCTGGATTTAATATGTATTTTGGAGAATCGTATTAATGTCCTGTCTCTTCAGGACCCTTTCTTCGACTCTATGCATTCTGTTCTTCCTTCGGAATCTAGTTGTCATAATTTTCATCTCAATTCATCGGGTCGCATCTGGATTAAATGGAACAATTCTAAACTGGGTTTTACGCCATCTCTGATCACTTCACAGTTAATTACGGGTATTATTACTGTTGCCAATCAGCCTATTCTTCAGCTATCAGCTATTTATGCTTCCAACAATCCCATTGAACGCAAAGCTTTGTGGGTTGACATCTCTCATGCAAATCATAATATTCATCTCCCTTGGGCTCTTATGGGGGACTACAATTGTTGTAGATTTGCTAAGGAAAAAATTGGTGGGACTCCTATCTCCATCTCTGCTCTGACTGACTTCAATGAGATGATTTTCTTGAATGGTTTCAAGGACCTTAAATCCATTGGGTTTAATTATTCTTGGTATAATCAACGTACAGATAATCCTATCCATATAAGGCTTGATAGGGTTCTTGTTAATGATATTTGGTTGGATACTTATGCTGATTCTTACTGTTCCATTCAAAATCCTTCTTGCTCTGATCACTCTCCTATCATCTTACACTCCGGGATGGTAGCTCATGTTCATCACAGATTTCTTTTTAAGAATTATTGGTCCAAGTTGGATAATTATTGGGCTCTCCTTATGGAGATTTTCTCTAAACCTTGCTCAGGGAATCCTTTATCTCATTTAACTGCTTCTCTTAAGCTGCTTAAAGATGGTATTAAAAAGGAGGCTTGGTCCAATTCTAACTGTGTTAAACTTCATTTGGATGCTTTGTTGGATAAACAAAAAGAGCTTTTGGGTACTCTTCATTCGGATCCTAATAATTTGATGTTTATTAGATCTTATAAGGAGATTAATGCTGAAATTGCTAATTTCACCTCCTTTTATAATTCTTGGGTTATTCAAAGAGCTAAGGTCAACTGGTTGAAAAGAGGAGAAGATGACTTGAAATTTCTTTATGCTAAAATCAGAGCTAGGAGAGGTGCTAATAATTCTGTGGTGAACCTCCTCTCTACTAATCCCAATACTTCCAGACCTGAGATTATTAAAAATATTACAGATTATTTTCAGCAACTGTACAATCCTATCCCTCCGACTAATCTCAGGATTGATTTGTTTCCTGTTGGTATTGCTGTTCCTGATGATTTTGTTTTTTCATGCACCTCTATTGTTTCGGATTTGGATATTAAATCTGTGGTCTTCAAAGGCAAACCTAACTCTTCTCTAGGTCCGGACGGATTTAACTTTTATTTTTATAAATCAGCTTGGCATATTATTGGGCCTGTTGTCTGTAGGGCCATTCGTTCTTTCTTTAGCAAATGCTACATGCCGAATGGAGTGAAGGCTACTGTTTTAGCCATCATTCCTAAACATAAGAATGCTATGGAAATTGCTGATTTTAGACCTATTGCTCTTTGTAATTCACTATACAAGATCATTGTCAAGGTGTTAGCTGAGAGACTCAAGCCTATTATGAAATTCAGTTTCGTGCCATTTATTTCTTCTAGGTTGCTAAAATTGATTGGCATTCGCTCTATCACTAGATGGTTTCTTCGTCAGATTTGGGGGCGGTAATCAGGACGATGATGACGCTCCTTTTTATTGCTTATCTTGCCCCTTCCCCTTGGATGGCCTATGGGCAACCAGGGGATCATCTCTTCGATTTTCTGTGTTCTGATTACCATAATTCTGGAGCCCTTTATTTTGAGGTTGGCTTGTTTCTTCGTCAGCTGCTGCTTCGCCTACTTTTTTCCTTGCAGGTTTTCCATCTGTTGGACTAGGCGGGGCAGGATTTACATGTGGATTGTGCTGGGATTTATGGACTGTGCTGGGGCAGTGAATGTCACAACCTTTAGGCCTTTTTTATGGCAGTTTTCCTTCCTTTCTTTTCTGTTATTTTTTTGGTATATGGGTGGTATAGTTGATGGGTTTTTATACCTTTACCCACATAAGGTTTTGTCTTTCTTATGTAGGAGTTTTGGTTTTTCTTTATACACCGTATACATGTAATATGTTAGTTATTTAATTGAAGGGCTAAGGCCCCAAATTTTCCCAAAAAAAAAAAAACATTAAATATTTTATACAAGAGAAAAAACAAAAAAGAGCTCATTTATCTAAAGTAAAAGCAATGTTGGACCGAACAGTTGGCCACTTGGCGTCGACCACGTGGACACTTTCTTGTTGGCCGAAAAATCCTTGCAGGAAATAGCAAATCGTGGGTTTGGAAACCGAAATCAAACTGCTCGAAGAGCTCATTTCTGTGTCGCGAGTCGAGCTCAAGCTCGACTCAAGTTTGAGCTCACTATTTGACTCACAAGCCGAGCTCAAACACCCCTTTACTTGAGCTTGATTCAACTCGTTTACACCTTTAACCCTAATGTATGCTTTTTAGTGATAATACTCTTCTTATTGATAAGACTAGAGAGAGAGTTAAAGAAAAACTTGAATTATAGAGATAAACCTTAAGAGTCTAAAGGTTTTCATTTGAGTAAATATAAACTCGAATACATGAAATGTAATTTTAATATTAATAATTCTAGTGAGGAGATTATGACTTTGGGTGATCAAGTCATTAATAAAAGTACAAGTTTTAGATATCTCAAATCTATTATTCAAAATAATTGAAACATAGATGGGAATATTATTAGTAAAATTCAAGCATGGTAGTTGAAGTGGAGGAATGCATCTAACTTATTGTGCGATAAAAAAAAACCCCCTTAAACTTAAAGAAATTCTATAAAATCATGGTGAAACTTATCATTCTTTATGGCACAGAATGTTGGCAATTAAAATAGAAGCATTAAATTAAGTTAAAAGTTACAAAGATGATGATACTCATGTAAATGAGTGGCTTCACTCTTAAAGATAAAATGTGAAAAAGTTCAAGTTGCTCCACTGGCAAAGTCATCTTAAATGACTTGATCACATAACATATTGACCTTCTGATGATCCAATTAGGAGAATAGATGTATTAAATTTAACCTATTTTAAATAAAGTAAAAATAGACCTAAAAAGGCTTGAATATAAAATATTAGAAATAAACTTTTTATTAAATTTAAATGAAAATTTAACTCTTAACATGATGCAAGATAAAAATTATTTTGTGCAGACACCAATACACAATGGTACGTTAGCTGATAACAATGATAATCAAAACACGCCACATACACAACGGTACATAGCAAAAAAATGACTTGACACATTCTAATTTGCCTCCGAATGGCATCCTCATCCGCATGGAATAAATTTACACAATGAAGACAAAAAATTCATATAATCAACCCTACGTAGTAAGATAAAAACTTAATGTCATCGTTGTTATATGATTAAAATTTATATAAATATTTTAAAAAGATATTCGAATATGAATTTTATATATATATATATTTTAAAAAAAAAAAATCTACAGACAAAAGACGGCTGGCCACAATGGGTGACCAAAAAAGAACATCCTCTCTTATAATATTCGTATGCATACATCAAATATCAGACAAGACAAATAAAGCAGTAATAATGCATTCGTTAAAGCACAGTTATAACAGCCCAAAGCATGTAGCCATCTGCAAATTTATGAAGACCTCGAGACAAAAATGATAATGTCCACAGAAAATGAAACCTACTTCCCAGAATTGGTAAAGAGATACAAGTTCATTGGAAAGCCTCAATCACATTTCTGTGCTCGTGTAATTTCCCAAATAGGATAATCCTCCTTGCTGCCGGAAACAAAGCATCTCTCTGGCTTCGGTAGAGAATGGACAATTGCAATCATGAACCTCTCATTCTTCAGGGTGTAGAGATACATGGCCTGCTCATCCTGACGTGACAAAAGAAAAAACAAGACAATAAGTAGAGCAATAGGTTGCAAAGTGAATCCCAAATAGAGCGTTTCTAGCAGTCACATTAAGCTTCGTTTGGAATAGTTTTCTTACTGTTTTATAAAGCAAGTTTCTAATATAAAAAATTATACTAAAAAATTGCTTCATAAAACAATAAGAGAAGTTGTTCCAAACAAAGTCTTACTCTCAAAATAAAGGATCATAGAATTGATATGGAGACAACACACTTATTGCTCTTCATGTCTCATACTCAAAAGGAATATTTATAAACTTATAAGACCCACACAAGCTAATCATTCACTAATTAACTACATTTAACCCTCACTAATTAGAATTTGGTTCATATCATTACTCCCTCTCTCACTACTTCATCCTCGAGGTTGGAGTCATAACTAATTATAGAGTTTAGTGACAACATAATTGGGGGCTTCAGCTCCTCCATGGAAGCGGGATTTTTAAGCATACCAACTTAGAATTTCTACTAATTGCAATTAAATTCAGTAATTCACCCACAAAAAAAGGGATAAGTAGAATACGTGCATGATGATTGGGACTGGACACCTCTTCGCCAAGCATGCAAAACTATGCTAGACTATACCAAGCTATATTTTATTGAAGTTCTGCCAATTGATGACCACTTCCTATTGCCATTGTTGTAAATTTCACTAGATTTCGATGTCTATGACCGATAACTAAGGTTGCGCAATGCATTTTCTTCGTAGGGAAAAAATTGAACTCTACAACTTAACATTTAAGCTTTGTTTGGATTGGAAAAAAGTGAGGGAAGTGAAATGTAAGTAATTTAAGGCTTTATTATGAATCGACAATAATTATTTGAGATTTTTTCTAACTACTTTTCATTTCTTTTCACTCACGTTCCCAAGCATCCAAGCAGAGCCTAAAATACACTTCATCAAGGAAAGCAAGAAAACGATGGATTAGTTCTTCTCCACGCTTAGTGAAAAATATGATATGTCAGTTGAAAAAACATATTTCCCAAGTGAATGATATTTAGGCAGCCACAGAACAACTGATTCCAGAAGAAGCGATTCAAGATGTTACCTCTGGAAGTTCATAAAACTCATCAGGAGAAATTTGCAGAAGTTCTGAAGCAGTCTGTCCTGTGCTCCATGTAAAAACACTCGAACTTCCATCTGCAACAGTAATTTCCAAGTGGAAGCACCGCATAAGCTCACCCTCGCAGGTAAGATGACAAAAGCTACATTGAACTACTCCATCGCATGTCTCACAAACAGGATGGCCACACACAGTATGGGATAACACTGGGCGTATATGATGGAGTTCGATCAAGCTGAGGTGGACGCTGCAGATCTGTCAACAACATGAGACAGAGGAATGATAATAATACACTACTGTCAATTGAGAACACCAAGCTCTAATCAAGTTAATGAAGCCTAACATGCTCCACACCGAGAACTCGCTCGTAGATAGATTAGTGCATTTTGCACAAATTAAATATAGTTCACATTTGCCTTGTATAAAAGAGTGAAATTGAAGACCAAACACATTTTACAAATACTAAAATCTAACATAGCTCATGTGTTTCTTTCATATAAAGTATAATGGTCTCCTCCCATGGGAAGATCAGTGTCTTCCTTCAAGCCATCATGAATGTAGCACCAAGTGAAAACAAGTGAAAAAATGTGCTTTGGAGTTAACATGAATATTTCATGTTCGGAGTATAAGCCAAATTTGTATTAGCAAATATAAAAAGTTTATATTAGTGCTGCATTTCCATGTTTTATGAATTAAAATATGTAACTATAATCGATAAAAATTAGTGTGACAATGGGAATACTGAAAAAAAAAATTTAAAAGAAGCATACATTTGTAGAATTTTTCCGCTTATGAATATCAGATAAACAATATAGCCTGTGTAGGCATGATGAGTTGAGCAGAGCCGGCAAGCTGCTTAGGTTCACAAACGTAGACTCAGAATCCTTCTCAAACCATGAAACTTCAAGCCTATAAGAAATCAAAAGATTCTGTCAAAAAAAAAAACTACCAAACAACTTAGTTTGTCGAAAAAGATTAAGCTATAAATTTCTGTAACATGACTGATCCTGCTTTCAAGCATGCACTTCATATGCAAGCCCATTTGTGTGGTGCATTTCCATCATCATCACCATTGTGGTTATGTATGATGTAGAGTTTATGCGTATCACTAGAGTTAAAACAACCCCAATTCCCTCCTCTCTCCTGAACTGCCAACCCTCCCTCACTTCCTCATAAATGTCACCTATCCCCTTGGAAAACACGAAGGAATTAAGAGATCTTTAAATTCATTCATGGAACTTAAACGTGGCTCTTCAAATCCCCCCTTCCTCCAAACACAAAAACACACATTTAGACACAACCTCCTTATTCTTCTCTAAAAAATGCCCTTGTGTTGGCTTACGTAATGGTTACTTTAAATGATTGAAAAACATACTAGGTTGCTAAATGTAGGATGCATGGAATCATTTATTTTTTCTCCTTCTCCGGCTGCAACATGTAGTAGATATTAAGGATTAACTGAGAATAGAGAGTGAGTTGATAGCCACCATATTGCAAAATCAAGTGTGAATGGATCTAAAATTTGTAGCAATCAATCTTAGAGAATTAAGTATGAATAGATCTTGAATTTGGTAGTCACGAATCTTGAAAATCAAAACAAATCTTATCCAAAATAATTGAGGGAATTTAAGCAACACTTAACACATTAGGGGCCAATAGCAGTAAGGAAGAGAATTTAATTAATATTCTTAGCAAAAAAGTTTGTGAAATAAGTAAAAGCAAGAGGCTCTAGTTGGTCTTGCAATAATATTTGCTTTCATTATATTTCCTTCCATTGTTTTAAGGAGCACGAAGGAGTAGATTTTTAGGAATACTTTGCTTGGTACATTGTCCACTACACAAATTATAATATCTAAAGTATATCACTTCTCATAAATTAAATGAAAACTTATAACAGAACTATAAGAGCATAAAATTGGAGATCTAACTTCAAACCAGAGGTCACCCACTTCCAGGGACCCAAAAAAAACAATCCTAATGCAAACTGCCCTTATATCCCTGTTAAGGTATGTTCAGTAAAAAATGATAAAACAATGGTTAAAGGAATAACTCGGAAATTGGTCTATATTTGAAATAGTGGAATTACAATAAAATGCTGACTGAACGTGCTCAGTTGAGTCACGAGCATATAATTGGCGGCATAGCTTGTATAAGTGCTAAATACATAATTTGATGTACCATTTAATTCTCTCAATCTGTCAGAAAGAATGTAAGTTGCTGCACTATTTAACGCCTACATTTCTACTGATGTGGTTGCATCGACCTTCCTAAATGACCCTAAAACACAAGGCTAACACAACATGTAGGAAGCATGCGTGCATAATTTACTACATTTCACTAACAAATGTACAATTTGACAGATGAAAGAGATTATCCAAAGATCCTCTATGCTCAGAATCCTTTCCTATTACAAGCATTAAAACTGATTGTAAGTTGAAGGAACAAAAGAAAATATTAGTGCAAAGAAAAAAAAAGGTATATTTTTTTAGTTTTACTTGGAAGTTTTAAGAGAGCAACGAAAAGTATTCATCCAATTCCTAGGTGAATTCCCTTTCTTTCCGCCTTTCTCTCATTTTGGGAGAGAAAAAATTGATGATATAGAGGGAAATTTTCCTCTCATTTCTTTTCTTTTCTTCTCATTAAAAACTCAATTCAAAAGGAAGTGTTAACTTTCTTTCTAATTCTTATTCCTTTTTTCTTCAAATTCTTACTCCCAATCAGAGATTTAGATTGTAAAGGTGAAAGGCCACTGTCTAGGTGGGCATGTTCATAGGCCTTAACAAGGTTTTTACATCAAGCTTTAAACAGAAAGAAAGTTCAAAAGCTCCGTCAAACTGCTCTATAAGTTTGTGATACAGAATTTTTAATATAAACACGTGAATTAGAGTATAATAGGTGTGGAAAATTTACAAAATGAAATAGGGGCTGTTAACCTTTTTTTTCGATTTGTTAAGCAGTTTAAGCCGGTGATGTAAACTGTGTGACCTGGGCTAAGTCTTCCAAGAGACCTGCAGGAGCAAACTTTATAAATGAGTACAGGTGAAAGATAAAACCTTCAAACCACACTGAATCATTTGGCAGTTTCAAATCAACAACAATAATGTAGAATGTTCAAAGAGAAGAACAAAGAAGAAAAAAAATGAAAGTATTATCTGAAGGATTTATTGACATAACAGTAGTACCGATAAAATCTATACTAAATTAATTCCTACTAAATAATCCAGAAAGTTCACATTTTTTTAATATATATCTATATAAATATAGAAACGTAATGTTGTTCAGATACTTTAGAAGTGAAGACAATTCTTACAGGCCCAACAACAAAAACAAGTTGAAGCTATTATAAATCCTCTCAACCTCCTAAAATTACTTCTATAATACTGCACATGGCCATGAAATTTTAGAGGAAGGCGTAGAGGATCAGAAAAAGCACTGCAAAGAAATTAGGTATAGAAGAATCTTAAATTCTTTTTTGGTCCTAACTCAAATTATGAGATTTTGAGAGGCCAGACTTTGGGTATGGAGTTGATTCGTTCTTTACTTACTGGGTCACCAACCATGCATGAATGAAAAGCTTCAATTCGAGGAATTTCCTAGAATTCTTGATTTAGGTTCTTGATTTTAACAACAAACTTTGAGCTCTCAAAGAAACCCTGGGTTACATAAAAATATTATCAGTTCAATAGACCTCCACTTCATTATTTTAGAAATAATTTGTATCATAATACAATTGTATTTAGGTATCGACTATCAAGTTAATTGACCTTTAATCCTCTTATTTCTATCTTTAGATGCGAGAAACACATGCTAAAGCAATCAATAAAATGGAAGTTTGACCCTTTACTCTTGTTTCTATCTATTTTATGGAAATCATACAATACATTTCCCCTAGGTTAGGATAAACCTCTCAAACCCTTTTTTCTCTCTCCCACTTGGCCTCCAAATTCCACAAATCGAGTCAAACATCTAGAAACTTTGTTCAAAACTTGAAAATCATTCAATAATCATTCAAGATATGGGAAACTCTATTGAGAGTTGTAAGTGATGAGGACATCCGACCTTGGAGAGTATACCAGGGACACGGCCGTCGATCTACGGCCACGATTGCGCCGCTTTACTTTTGATCATCATTGTATTAAATTTATTTTTGAAGTATTAGTTTATGAGTTTTATTGTACTTTTCCTTTTTATGCCCCCACTTGAAGGCCTAGTCATGTGTATGCCCGAGGGACAAGATGGTCTTTATTTTATTTTTTTTCATTGTATTGGGCATATTGGCTATTTAAAGCTTCCTTCTCCTTCTTTAAGGGTTCATGAATGATATTATGAAAATTTCAGCAATTTGTTTCTTGTGAGGTTTGTGAGAATGCTTTGGTGAGAATCCTCGGAGAGGGAATCGAATCACCCACCAGCCGTTAGAAGCGTTCGAGCTCGTGGTTACCTTTCTTTCTCCACTTCTTCCTCCCCTTCTCCTTCCCCATCCACATCCACCACCGGCCGAATTCCCTCCAACCCGTCGGCCAAGCATCCATCCCCTCCTCTTTCCCCCTTAAGCCGCCGGCCCTCACAACCCTCTCCCTCATCTAACCGAAATCCAACCTCCCCTCCAAAGCCCAGCCGGCCACCCCTTTTCCACCTCCCAACCGCCCTACCCATTTCCCAAGCCACCGGCCCCCCTCCCTTCCCTCCCTCCTTTCTTTCCAAAGTTTCTTCTAGGAAAATAATTGAAGACCTACCTAATGTAAGACTACAATGCATACAATAACTTGAAAAGAACTTGCACACTTATTGATTAAAATAATAATGATTAGAATTATTAGTAGATAAAACGACAAAATAAAACGTAAGAGCGATCACTTCCGTTTAGGCTAAGGTGCACAATAGCTTTGAATCATCAAAATAACATAGGAAATCAACAACATGCAAACATAATAGCTTTCAACGAAAAATCCCTAAGATAACAATAAGATTAAAAACACATGAAGTGCGTTCAATCTCTACGTTTACTAGGCTCGACAGAGTTAGGCGATCACGATCTTCATGACTAAAATCAAATCATAAGAAAGGGGATTAGACTAAGGAAATGCAAGAGGAAGATTGGTAAACCTTCGTCAAGGCTCGGACGTAATCATCCATTGTACGGTTGTGGGCTCCGAAAATTCGACCCCGGCCTCCGCTCGCTCTTCTTTGTATTTGGCGAGGGAGTTTTAATGGAATTAAGTTCCGGGGTAAATTTTGGAAGGTAGATGGGTTTGTAGATAAGACACTACCCAGAGATTTCGCCCTCATTTTGCGAGGACTTTATGATCTGAGTTCTGGTTTCCTATAGGCGCAAGCCCCTATAGTTAATTACCCCTCTCGATCAGGAGAGAGAACTTTCGATTAAGGCTAGTCGTCAATCAGATACGTTAGAGTTATACGTGGGTATTGGCATATATATAGCAGCATATATATGTATTTGAAATATTGAGGATGTTTAGTAATGTGGGTTGGATAATGGTTTGATTTTAAATTAGAAATTTCATCTCATCTTGCACTTAAAGTTGAATGTGTGTGGAAATGGATGATATGAACTAACCCGATCAGATCCCATGGTCCCGTCGTCCCGGCCATCAGGTCCCTGATCTAACTTAGTCAGAGACGGTATGTCGACCCAACCTGACAGAAGATGATCCTTCCACCATGTGGTCTTCTCTCAAGGGTACCTGTAGACCTGGGAGTGAATGGTTTTTCTAGGGGATGAAAATCTAATCACCTAGCTTACAGAGGCTTTAATGCCTATCAATCTATCCTATTGATCATATCTCAATGATTTGAGCAATAAATGGAGTATTGGCCTGGCCTCGTATTACCGGGTAGTCGTGTCCTTTTGGGTGCAGAAACACCACTCGGTTCAGGAGGCCCCGGTAAAGCCGTTTATCCTGCGGTGCCATTGGCGGGCGAACCGCCGTAGAGGACCAGTACGCACTCCTTATGGCAGGAGATTGGTTGAGATGAATCCGATGTTCGACTAGGCATTTGGCTCTTTGTAACTGAAGTTATATTAATTGTCCACCAACGGCAACTGTTGCGAGGTGAATAGATTTTGCTTTAAATGTTATGTTAGATTCCCATCTTTAATATTTTGGAATTTTTCTGATTCTGAATGATGTTTGGAATTTTTTGGTTTTGGATTTTGGGAGTTTTTGGTTTTGGATGGAGCCTTTTGGAAGACATTTGGATATTGGAGGTCATTTAATATTTGTGAACCCTCCCGATAGAGATATAACATTCAACCACGGCCTCACGGGGTAATTGGATCATTTCCATTTAAGCTTGAACCTGTCGACTCGTCTTGGCTGTCGACAGAGATCGGATGTCGTATTGTTTATGCCCTTGATTAGTGAATTCTTATGTATACCTTGAAGGCCAATATGAAGTATTAAGACAAATATGACGTCCCACAACCGATATTGTTGTTGACTTCGACCTGATCGACTTCCTATTGACCGTATACGAATGTATCGGGTTCGATACCTGATTCAACTTTACCACTGCGCAGCAAATTCTCCTAAACGTTACGTTGTAACCGAGATAACGACGACTCGCGGGCCCTATGCGGTTTGGGGTGGTAGG